TTTCAAATCGATTACATATCGAACTTCTGTACATGTTTTTGTCTACTGCCCTTCTGCGTGCAAATAATGAGGTCATACTCATGTCACAATAAGTTGAAGCTGATGCCATGTTGATGCCATGAGACTGCGAAGCTGAGGCCACGTTGATGCCACAAAATAGCGAGGCGAACACAGCTTCAATTTTCAATGACGCGAAGCTGATGCCACAATGATGCGATGCTGAGGCAACAATGAAGCCATGCGTAGGCGACAATGATGCCACAAAAGCCAAAGCTTCCGCGAGAACTGTACTGTATACATCAAGTATCAACATTCAGGCTTGTAGTTTTCAAAAGTTTTTGAAAAAGTAAAAAATTGACACGGACAATGGCAGACAATTACTCATGATAAGCTCTGTTTGACAGGGGCGCTAGCAATGAAACTTGTTGTTTCTTTGACAAATTTGTGAACTTAAACAGTGAATATGCTCAAATCATTAATTAAATGTGCTATGTGTGTCAATAAACATTAGGTAGTTATATACCTAGTATACAACTAATTAAATACCTTGGGTAAAGGACAACATCCCCATTGACCGGTTGACAGTTTGCAACAAGTGCTCCCATCTGGACATTGAGACTGACCATCAGGACACAATATAGAATTTGTTGGTGTGGCTAAAGTTTTCTTGACCCATGGCATACTGAAGTCACCCTTATTACATTTACCCTGAGAAACATCACATGTTGTACCACTAGGACAGCAATGTAGACCATCAGAGCAGCATACAGCCTGAAAATAAATTGAGAATAATGTTTAAGATATTGATATTCTAGATTGCATTGGTTGTTTTATGATCCAAGTTACCCATTTTTAGCTGGGTGATTTGTCTCTGAATACAAGTGACCAGGCTCAATAGACAATGACACAATGTATAACATTACATACTGTATTGACTTTGTATGAACATTGTCTGCATGCGACATCTCAATAAATAAATAAATAAACATAGATACCGGTAACAATACAACTAATTAAATACCTTGGGTAAGGGACAACATCCCCATTCACCCGTCGACAGTTTGCAACAAGTGCTTCCATCTGGACATTGAGACTGACCATCAGGACACAATATAGAATTTGTTGGTGTGGCTAAAGTTTTCTTGACCCATGGCATACTGAAGTCACCCTTATTACATTTACCCTGAGAAACATCACATGTTGTACCATTAGGACAGCAATGTAGACCATCAGAGCAGCATGCAGCCTGAAAACAATTGTGTAAAATATCAACATTGTAGTTATACCGAGTTATCAAACTTTGTCTGGTTTGAGTACTGTAAATGCATTAATTTAGTCAATGGGTTTTAATATTGTTATTTTCACTGATAAGTAAAAGCTGCTAAATTATATCTAAGTGAACAGGTAAACCAAGCAGCCTCTCAGCTGAGATAGCTTTGCTGTTAGCAAAGCACGATTCAATATAAGAATTGAAATCACAAAATGAGCAAATTTGAGAGAGGTCAACCCAAGATACCTATATACATACATATATACATACATATATACATATATACACATATACACATATACATACATATATACACATATATACATATATACACATATATACATATATACACATATATACATACATATACATATATACACACATATACACATACATATATACACACATATACACATACATATACATATATACACACATATACACATACATATACATATATACACACATATACACATACATATACACATACATACACATATACACATACATACATATCATTAAAACAAAATGACTGCCAGTCGGCTATATTTTAATAGCCGGATCTGAAAAATAAAATGACGTGCATCAATGACCCATAATGTCCAACGTATGTACCAATTTTAAACAAAATCCATCTATAAATGCTTGATTTTAATGATTTTTTAGACCAAAAATGGCCACCATTCGGCCATCTTGAATCAGATCATGAAACAAATTGATGGGCACATGTATAATATTATGTATGATGTATGTGTGAAGTTTGATTGAGATTGGATTAGGCAAGACTAAGATACAGGTCTGTACGCACAGACACATACGCACGAAGGTCAAAACACAAGTCCCCGTTTTCGAACTGCATCCGACTGGGGATTAATATCAAAGCATTCAGGCTTGTAGATTTCAAGAAAAAGTCAACAGACAATGGTGGACAATCACTCGTATGATAAGCTCCGTTTGGGAGCTAACAATAAAACTTGTTGTTTCTTTGACAAATTTGTGAACAGTGAATATGCTCAAATCATTAATTAAATGTGTTATGTGTGTTGATAAACATTAGGTAGTTATATAACTAGTATACAACTAATTAAATACCTTGGGTAAAGGACAACATCAATATTATAAATCTCAAGGCATCTGGCAGGTGGTTTCGGAGAAGTAAAAAGTATGCAAAAATTGGCAAACAAAAACAAAAATATTTACTAAATCAAAGAAAGCTTAGAAAGAACTCATGTGTGTTGAGAGTATTTAAGACACATTCAAAATTAATTAAAAATTACTTGTACACGAGATATTGATGGGAAAAGCTGAAAACTAATTAATATATGTGAATCAGATAACTAATATGAGCAGAACAGAACAAAAAAATTATGAATTATTATGCTAATTAGAGAATTAATATGAACAAATTTTAACCCAAAATTAATCAGGCCTGTATTGTCCTAGAACATTTATGTACCACATTTTATTCAAATGTGATGATCAGTAATTGAGATATCAGTGTAAATTAATAATGTTAATTAGGTGATTAATAAGCATAAATATTTACCAAAAATTAATTAGGTCTCTGCATAGTTCTCTTTAAAAGTTTCATTAAAATCCAATTCGTGGTTCTTTATATATCAGTGGAACATTATGCAAATTAGGTAATTAATATCCAATTAAAACTAATCAGATTTCTGCATAGTCCTAGAAGATCTATGTAGCAAGTCTCATTGAAATATGATTAGTACTTGAGATATCAGGCAAAAAGCTAAAAATTAACTAATTATGCTAATAAGGTAATTAATATGCACAAATATTTACCCCAAAACTAATCAGGGGTCTGCACAGTCCTTAAGTAACTATGTACCAAGTATCATTGAAATGAGATGATTACTGCTTGAAATATCAAAAGCTGATCAAAGAAAGCTTAGAAAGAACTCCCATGTGCTGAGAGTATTGGAGACACATTAAAAATAATTCAAAATTACTTGTACTTGATTGAGATAGTGATGGAAAAGCTGAAAACCAATAATGCAAATCAGAAAATTAATATGAACAGATTTGAATGTAAAACTAATGAGGTCTGCACAATGTAACAGACCATCTATGTTTTATTGAAATGTGATTGGAACCAAAAAAAATTATGAATTATTATGCTAATTAGAAGAATTAATATAAACCAATTTTAACCACAAACTAATCAGGTTTGTACATAATTGTCCTAGAGCATCTTTGTACCAAGTTTCATTGAAATGGAATAATTAGTACTTTAGATATCAGTGTGATAGCTTAAAAGTGGTTAATTATGCAAATTAGTAATTAATATGTACAATTATTTACCCTAAAACTAGTCTCTGGATAGTCCCTAAAGAATCTATGTACCAAGTTTCATTGAAATGTAATGATTACTACTTGAAATATCAAAAGCTGAAAATTAATTAATTATGCAAATTAGGTAATTAATATGTACTCGAATTACCCTAAAACCTATCAGGTTTGTGCAGTGTCCTATGAAATCTATATACCAAGTTTTATTGAAATGTGATGATTAGTACTTGAGATACCCTTTTTGTGCTTCACACACGGGAGTCAAAAATAGACACTTACATATGGTCCCAAATTTTGTAAATCAGAGTCTAGTCCATGTCAAGAACATTCATGCCAAATTTCAACACAATCTGACAAGCAGTTGTTGCAAAAAAATCATTTTTGACCAAAAGTGACAAAAATATTACCTAAATATAGAAATTTGGATGTGATGTCATGAAATGAAGAAATCTGACAGAGGACCACCCCAGGTAGTTGTTGCTATGAATAGCATGGTGATGTAGCTTATGGTTTGGGAGAAGAAGTTGATTGAATAAAAGTTGATGGACAGGCGACGATGGGTCCAGTCAACCCATCAGCTCAATCATCTTCGATAACATTGGTGCTAATAAACATGGGTAATAATATACCCAATTAAATACCTTGGGTAATGGACAACATCCCCATTGACCAGTCGACAGTTTGCAACAAGTGCTTCCATCTGGACATTGAGACTGACCATCAGGACACAATATAGAATTTGTTGGTGTGGCTAAAGTTTTCTTGACCCATGGCATACTGAAGTCACCCTTATTACATTTACCCTGAGAAACATCACATGTTGTACCACTAGGACAGCAATGTAGACCATCAGAGCAGCATACAGCCTGAAAATAAATTGAGAATAATGTTTAAGATATTGATATTCTAGATTGCATTGGTTGTTTTATGATCCAAGTACCCATTTTAGC